CTAAGTCAGATTGCGATTAAATTCAGCTAAAGCTTATAGAGTGACACAAGAGATGGTTTTCATAAAGTTTGCCGTTTCAATGTTTATTACTGAATTACAATAATGAGCATTACATGCATTCAAATGGTTGGCACCTGGATTTAACAAAGCATACAGGTACAAGCCTTCTATTGGATGATTACTGCATGGGCGATTATCTTACAGCTGCAGCAGGTAATTTAATCCCAACTGGTGCAATGAGCTGCTTCTCTTTTCTTAAACAACCATGTGGAAAGGCACATCAGGTTGTTATGGAAAATATGTTAGTGTGGCAGTCTGCTTGAGAAGGGTCAGATCATTGGCATCAAGCAGAGAAAACGTTTAAGGAGATTGTAGAAACAACTAAAACTGGGTTAAGGAATGTCCAACGTATTATTAAAACTGGTCTGATGAGTCCAGATGGACCCTGTCCCAGAGTGATGGGTGCATCAGGGTAAGAAGAGAGGCAGATGATGTGATCATCCTTCCTTGTGCATACTACGGATGTGCATTGGTGAAATTCTGGCGATACGATATGTATCACGATACAGGGGAAACTGTAATCATGATATATTGTGATACATTCAGTCAGACGATATTAGTGATTTTTTGACTGAATTTATTGCAGGAAAATTCAAGTCCAAACTGACACTTAACATGTTTAACGTGAGGTATCTGAACTATAATAGAGGGATTTGCATTTCAATGGTGGAAGCAAAACCCATTGCACACTGCTGCCAACTAGCGGTCGAAGTTTGAATTGCACCAAAAGAAAAGAAAATACACAAATGTTTGCATGCAAATTCTTCCAAATATTAGATACACGGCTTTTGAATTTCGATATAATATTGCTGGAAAAATATCACTATTTTTTCTTACATCCCTAGTGCCTACTGTACATGCCTGTGGGGGCAGTATTATGATCTGGGGTTGCTGCAGTTGGTCAGGTCTAGGTTCAGCAACAGGTTGTGCTCCAAGAAGCTGACTACTTGAATATACTGAACAGAGGTGGAACAGAGTTTTTTTGTGTATTTATACTTTTAAGTCGTTTTTAAAGTCTGTACTTTTACTTTTACTTGATTATGTTCTTTTAAAAGAATTGTAATTCGCTACAAACCACACACTGTAATTCGTGTGTGTGTGTGTGTGTGTGTGTGTGTGTGTGGAGGGGGGGGAGGGGGGGGTTGTACACTTTTGATAATGGTGACAAACACCCATTTTTACCGCAGTTTTGCTCAAAAACATCAGTTCAGTCACTGTGATCCACTCGCTGTTTACCTCCTCTCTCCCTCCTCTCCTGTGGGTTGGAACCCGCACCTTACTGCACCGGTGTTACGTCATCAGAATCCTGCTCGGTTCGGTAGTGAGACGTGGTTCCGTGTTTGAATTGTGTTTCCCCTACGGCTCCGCATGGCAGCGGCAAAATAACGTTTAGCGCTCATAACAGGCGGATTCTCAGCGCTTTGCTCACATTGTTTACACGCAGCCACTATTCGGGTTTTGATTGGTTTTAAGGTCAGTATTCTTGTTTCTGAAAAATTTGGAGTAACCCGTTCACATAAACAGCGTGATCACTGGATTTCTTCTGATTGGAGTGGGAGGATATCTGGTTTTCTGGAAATTTGGGAAGACGGGAGCGATTGGAGGGCGACCCGCACCCACGGCATGCACCGTCCGGGCGGAGACCTCACAGACTGGGACGTTACTCGAGGTGAATCGTAAGCTGGACAATGTCTTAGCTGCGTTACCGGTGTTAGTGCGCAAAATGGATGTCATCACGGAGAGGGTCACCGGACGGTGTGGAGATGTTTAATAACCTAATTTGGCTTCACTGAAGGACTGGAATGACCAGTTACAGACTGAAGGCAGAGAGGAAAATTATCTCTGCCTGACCCAAACACAGTTTTGTTATCCAAATCAGACGCCAAGGCAGCCTTGAGCTGCCAACAACAACCCCCACGAAGGAAGGAATGCAGACAGATGCTGTGAAAATATTTATATACATTATATATATATATATATATATATATATATATATATATATATATATATATATATATATGTATATATATATATATATATATATATATATATATACATATATATATGTATATATACATATATATAAACAGTTATAAACAAAATAAACCAAAGAAGGGATGAGTGAAATGTGTTTATGACACTGAAGCACCAAAAACAGTGTTCTTGATTGATAAGCAGTAAATATAACAAAATACCAATAAAGTCATAAATATTATATATATACATACATAGTTATATATGTCTACATAGGAATATGTATATTTGTATCATAAACAATAACAACATTAAGAAAATAATACAAAACATAAAAAAAACTGCAAATGTGATGCAATCCAATATGGCTGCTACCTGAAGTCGTCATAATATGCAAATTATGTGAGTGAATTAGTTCCTATCACAAAATTTGGCTCATACTGAAGATTTTTCTAATTTACAATATTCCCCTATCTCTAACCAGTTTTAAGCTACAAGCTCCTTAAATAGTGATTTAAAAATTCATGTTTTACTGAAAAAACTATGGCGCCTAAAGGGTTAATGATGTCACTGCTTCAGGCTTAGACCCTCACATCTGAAACTAGGACAAATGAAATGAATATGGATGAAATAACCTGAATGTACTAGTTCATGTTTCAGACAACAGTTACCAAAATAAAGTCATATCATGAATACAACTTTTATAGTTATGTTTGTCCACAGGTGAGAAATAATCACACATTCACTGCTGTCATCTGGACACTGTTACAACAGAAATAAAGTAAAGATGTGATCTAAAGCTCTTCACATCCAATCAAAGGACTAGAGGACACAGCAGCTCAAAGACCTGCCTGTTCCTGTCAAAGGACGTTTTCAGACAAAGGTGAGAGAATCACTTCATTGATTTTATTTTTCTCATCTCCACGTTACATTTATAGCTATACTATGTTAGAACATTGTTAGTCTGTTTCCCTGTCAATAGGGGGCAGTATATACCTAAATCCTTGCAAGCTAGCGTTATTTATTTATTTTTTTGTTCAAGTAAGACCTTACCAACGATAGCCGTTAGGGTCAAAAATTCCCTGGGAGCTCAATTTTCTAACTTTGTCAGATCGTTGAACCTCCAGCAAAATGACCAGCATATAAGACTCTCTTTCATCACTTGCAATGAGCGAAGAGGTAAATGTGTCAAACAACATTTATGAATGGAGAAAGTTTAGTAACCTTCTGTTACAGATCAGTAAATGCTTTTTGTCCTCACGGGCTCCGGTAGAAGGAAACATGGCACCTAACATGGCGTTGCCCAGAGACCCGCTCCAGTGAATTTTAAACTTGAATTTTATGGTTATATGTTACAACACCGCCAATATTTTTCAACAACTGGGCATCATTGAATTCATTTTCAACAACATTTTGATGGACATTTCCAGAGAATAATGGTTAAAACTACACACATTCTCTTTAAGAAGCGTGAAAAATTATGTTTGAAGCTAATTTGTTTTCCAGATTTGCCATTGCAGATTTAGGCCACAAAAAAAGGAGTTATCTACTGCAAACCTTTAGAAGGAAACATTAATACTATGATGTTGTGTGTACAGCTGAGTTTTCAGTAGATGTAGTGGATGTATTATCAGCCAGCTGTTATTCAGTGTGTCTACATGCAGCCAGTAACCCTTTTAAAACCCGAATCTTCACAATGACTACGTTTACATGCAGCCAATATCCGGGTTATGATCGGGTTAAGGTCGGTGTTTGGGTTTCTGGGTTGATCAGAATAACCCGTTTACAAGCATAAATAGAAAGAGTTACCTCTAACTTGCATAACCCTATTTAAATGCGGACGTTGGGGTAGCGTCAGGACGTGTGGACTACATCCAGATGCAATATGCGTCATTTCCGGTTCTTCTCGTTCCGGTATCCGTGAAAACAACAACATGTTTCCCAGTTCGGAAGAGATAGCGACCGCGTTTGTTTGCGCTTTAGTTTCCTCGTCACTCCAAAAGTGTGGTGCTGTGCCGCGACTCGCCATGTTGCTCCCAACTTGTTGTTTACTTCCGGTGTTCTGGCACATACAAGACGTCTCGCTACTCAAAAGACCAAGATTCCTTGCGAACAGAGCATGTGCAGAACACACGCTTTGATGGGGATATCCCGATATGCGTTTACACGACCAGACATTCGGGTTAGAAAAGGGTTACCCCAGGTGTAGTAACTGGGTTTTTAAAAAACCCGGTTATGAGCCTATCCGGGTTTTTGGCAGTGTTTACATGGACCTGCGGAACCGGGTTATTGTGAATATTCGGGTTTTAAGAGGGTTACTGGCTGCATGTAAACGCACTGACTAACCCGGTTCCGCAGGTCCATGTAAACACCGCCAAAAACCCGGATAGGCTCATAGCCGGGTTTTTAAAACCCCGGTTACTACACCTGGGGTAACCCTTTTCTAACCCGAATGTTTGGTCGTGTAAACGCATACCTGGATATCCCCATCAAAGCGTGTGTTCTGCACATGCTCTGTTCGCAAGGAATCTTGGTCTTTTGAGTAGCGAGACGTCTTGTATGCGCCAGAACTCCGGAAGTAAACAACAAGTTGGGAGCAACATGGCGAGTCGCGGCACAGCACCACACTTTTGGAGCGACGAAGAAACTAAAGCGCAAACAAACGCGGTCGCTATCTCTTCCGAACTGGGAAACATGTTGTTGTTTTCACGGATACCGGAACAAGAAGAACCGGAAATGACGCATATTGCGTCTGGACGTAGTCCATACGTCCTGACGCTACCCCAACGTCCGCATTTAAATCGGGTTATGCAAGTTAGGGGTAACTCTTTCTATTTATGCTTGTAAACGGGTTATTCTGATCAACTCAGAAACCCGAATACCGACCTTAACCCGATCATAACCCGGATATTGGCTGCATGTAAATGTAGTCAGTGTCTGTTCTCAATGTATTTAAATGTCCTTACTTGTCTGTTTGGGGACTTTGCCTGCTGTGTCTGTTGGGTGGGAGGACTGGTGCGGTTCCTCCATGTCAGTGGGGGGCAGAACCACTCCACTTCACTGAGGTAGATGAGGAACGAACAGTCGGAACCATCAACGCCGTAGAAGGCGTAACATGGGTCTGACGTCCACCGGGAACGCATCCACTGGAGATTGTATAGAAGACAAGATGTGCACGTTTACATGAGGACATCATTCTGACCCAACACACTAAATAAAGTAAACGATGTTACGTCATCTGCTAAAAAAGACAGGTCATGGGATAAATACAACAACTGAAAATACATAATCACAAATCGTTTTACTTTGTGAATCTCAAAAAAACGTTAGTACTGTTTTTGTATAAAAACGAAAACAAAGCTCACATCCACTTTTCCGGGGCACTCGGGGAAGCGGCTGTCTCTCGGCACCTCACACTGACTCGTTCCTTCTCTCACCACTGAAATGAAACCATAGAATAGTTTGAAGTCATCTTTCTGAGAAAAGGTTATGAAAATTGTAGCGTTAGGAAGTATAATGGTCTGCCTTAACAGCTGCCCCTTCACACAGTACCATCACCAAGGTCGGACGCTTGGTTCAGTATGTTTACATTCCAGGAGAAGAGACAGAAGAAGAGAAGAAGAACGCTTTTCATTGAATAATCACCTGATTATTAATGATCAACAAATGCTTTGATTAGCTTATCACAAATAAAGTACTTTGATTAATTAATGAAAAGTGTTCTTCTTCTGTCTCTTCTCCTGGAATATAAACATAGTGAACCAAGCGTCCCACCTTGGCGATGGTACTGTGTGAAGGGGCAGCTGTTAAGGCAGACCATTATACTTCCTAACGCTACAAAATCCTGCATGCTGTAAAATACTCTTTGTACAACTTCAGCTTAGAGAAATATGGAAAGGTTCCGACTGGATCGATTAATCCGTCAACCTGAACCAAAAAATAAAAATCTGATTTCTGAACAGCTCTAATCTCAAAGTCTCCATAGTGATCCATGTGTGCATCATTTTTTTATGTTACACTTTTAATTAGACGTGTTGGAGATCATGTCTATTTTCGGTGCTGACTGCACAAAGAGTACAAATTGGTTTTTGTTTATCGTTGTGAAAAGTTTGAATTAGTGTTATTCTGCTTTAACATTCTGAGAGGATGTGTGTTTGTCCTCGGGGCTATTCAAAATGCAGTCCAGAACCGCTGAAATATTAACTATTTATAATTTTTTGACTGAGGCCCTGTCCACACGTAGCCGGGGATCTGCCAAAACGTAGATATTTTTCTACGTTTTGGCCTGTCATCCACACGAAAACGGAGTTTTTTCACATGAAAACGGAGTTTTTTAAAAACTCCGGCCAAAGTGAAGATCTGCGTTTTCTCCGTTTTGGGTGTCTGTGTGTGGACGGACAAAACCGGAGTTTTAAGGTCCGCAACGTCACTTTCCGCGACAAAAAAATGCTGACATCACGTGTGCGACCTGTGTTTACACTAGCCGACAGCATGGACGCCCTCAGAGCTGCGCTCGCTTTATCGATTGTCCAAGCGCTTTCTGCTTGTTTGTTTTTGCAAGCGGAATTACTGCTCCTTGTGGAAGACCACAGACGAAGGACGAGGTTAAGAACGGGGGAAGTACTGCCCCCTACAGGTCTGGCATGTCCTTAACAACGTATTTATCCGGGTACGTGTGGACAGAGTTTTTTTTAAAAACGAGGCGGTGTGGATGCAAGTTTTTGGAGGGGCGGATATTCGTTTTTAAAAAACCCGGCTACGTGTGGACTAGGCCTAAATCTTTGAAATATTGTGTTTCATCTTTGGGAAACGGTGGCAGAGGAGTTAAGTGCCAGCTCAGTAATTTGGAGGGTTGCAAGTTTGAGCCCCTCTTCACTGTCCTCGCCTGCTGGACCGAGGGACCGGTGGCGCCTGTGCTCGGCAGCCTTGCTACCATCAGTGCATCCCAGGACAGCTGTGGCTACAATCACCACCAGTGTGTGAACTGGTGAACGGCCGTGTTGTGTTGTTAAGCACCTTGAGGGGACTTTAGAAGGCACTGTAATATTCCAGGCCATTTTTGTTTATCACTTTACCGTATGAAACTTAAATCTGTCACATTTTGATTAAATAGCTACTTAAACAATGTAATGATTGAGTAAATTTAAAGACGAGAGGCTTTTATTTAACCGCAGGCCCTGCTATTGGGTCGGCCGACAGGTTTGTAGGTTTTATCCCCAGAAATCTGTTTCCTCTGAAGTGAGCTCATTCCTCAATGCTGATCACTCCAGCAGCAATCAGCCACCTTCGTAATATCTACCGGCTCATTTCTCAGCTAATGATACTTGTCAAACTATTCTAGTTTTAATTTGAATTCTCTTTATATCAGTCAATTTTCTCTAAATGTTTGAAGGTGCTGAGCACTCCTTTAATCAATATATCTGCAGTGGTCTCTAGTAGGAATCCCTGCCTCGTAAGCTGTGTGGGGGTGTCTCGGGAAGTACAAGTCAGCTGGGGGAGGAAGTTGCTTCAGATGACAGGATTTGGAGTTTTATTCCCTGACATTTGGACATCTGCCCTCTGACTGGCTAACAGCAACAGAAAACCTTGACCCACTGCAGGGGCGGCGTTATGCCCGGCTACTTGGGCTGAAGCCCCGGATGTTTCATGGAAAGCCCCGGATCTAAATTGTGGAAGTAACATGCAGTACCAAAGTCCAACAGAGAGGGCGCAGCTGGCAGTAGTTTGTATACAGCCTGCCTGAGCCTCCACCACTGAAGAAGAAGCCCTTCAGCAGCTGAATTCTTCTACACTCTCTGCCTGAAACGCATGAGTGAAGATGGACATAAAGACGTTTTTTAGACCAGAAGTACCGCGACAGAACCCCAGCTTTGATGAGACTGGTGTTGACTCAGGTTTGTGAGTCTTATTAGAAAATATTTGTTGTGCTGCTGGTTTGCCTAAAGTTAGCTTGCTATCAGGTAGCAACATGTGTTAAGCCCCGGATGTTTTTCAGTCCTTAATCCGCCCCTGACCCACTGACTGTTTGCGTTGCATATTTGATGTTTTATCTCCACAAATAACACAAGCCTGAAGGAGTTGTGCTGTGCGGTGGAGTTGCTAACGCTAATGACTAGCTTCTACTGGTCGAGGCACGCTCTGCTGCTTCCTGGACGCTAACCGACAACAGCGCTCCCCGTCGTGATGAGTCCATGAATGTTACAGGGCTGCCAACTGTCACACATCAGGCATGGGACACATTTGACCCTCTTCACACGCCACACCTCCCAACATCTCACGCTCGTTAATTCTCCCCCCGCCCGCATTCAACTGTTCAAACGTTGGCAGCCCTGATGTTAAGTGACCGTGTGACGTAGATCTGTCAGTATTTTGTTGAATGAGCGTCTATTTTCTGTCAGAAGCGAATGCAGGGGATTGGTGTAGGAGACTATTATCACCTCCAGCCTGCATGTTAAACTGCGAGTGATGGATCATTTTCAAAAAGTATGAGTAAAAAATTGGTTTCTCAGTGAAGCTGCTGGATTAAAGTTCTGATCTTGTCTGAATCTGCATACCCACTCTTACCCAAAAGCCAGCCTGGCTCCTTTTTTTTACTGCCAACTGTTACCGAGGCGAGACCGGCAGGAACATCTGGAACCGCATTAGTTGCTCCACTGACTTGGTTAACTGCTCCACTGACGCCAACAGGAGAAAGGACAAAGATGGACTCATACTTTGTGTGTTTTGCATAATTTACACACCTCTTCCTCCCTTTCTCTTTCTCTCTCTGGACCAACAACTTTCTGTTCCCTCTAATTCTGTCTGCTTCCATTTGTCCAATGAAAAGGAGACATTTGTCTACACATGCCCTCCCTGGAGCTTCTCTCTCATGACCGAAAACACACACAAATGCGATCTGCACATGTGATCACAGCAGCAACAGCTGAAAAATGTGGTCACTTAACTAGATAAAGATTTTACTGCTGCCCCTGAAAGCCATCGGACAAAAGCCTCGTCTGCAGCCAGAATAAAGGTTGGTTTATGCTTGACGCGTCCGCGAGGTCCGCACGGCTCCGCGCGGAAAAGTTGCGTCATTTTAACAACCACGCCCCTCCACCGCGTCTCCGCACGGCCCAAGATTTCCGCAACGCGCACCTCGGAAAATTTCTAACCACGTGGACGGTCGGACGCGGAAAAACATGGCGGACCGGCAAGAACTAGCACGGCAGAGGTTCGTAAATACAGACATTTGTATGATTCAGCTCTCAGAGATCACCGTGATCAACATGTTGTTAATAATTCTTGGAGAGAAATAGCTCACACTGTCGGAAAAGACGAGGACGCTGTTAAAAATGCTGGAATGCCATGTTGTAAACAGTAATTTCTACTTCTACTATGGTGTAGTGTTGGATGCATGCCGTAGAGCTCCATGCTGCCCCCTACAGTTTGGGAGAATATTGGCTCACCGCAGAGACGAGCCGCACGAACCATAAACGCTGCGAGTTGTGAAGCGCGTTCCATCCGCGAGCCGCATCACCGCGCGGAAAGTGAATGCGTCAAGCATAAACCAAGCTTAAAGCAGCTTCCCTGATGTTCCTCCAACACTCACCTGACTGCAGAACGAATAAACGACCACTGAGCAGTTCTGTAATAAAGTCTGCCAGCAAGATTTCAATTCACTCGTGATTAGAGAAAGCAGCAATGTTTTCATTTGGCTGCGTGCTGCTGTCCCTGCACATGCAGCGAGGGAAAACAAAAGGAGAGGTAGTTTTCATTTACTCTCAAGTAAGTCACCCTCGAGAGAAAATGTAGGAGGAGGGGAGTGGGGAAGGAAAAATGGTTTGGAGTTATTTAGAGTCTGATTAAAAATGTGGAAAAACAAAATGAACGCAGAACGCCATGGCTAGATAACGCAGCGAAAACACTTCAGTCAGAAAAAAACTGCATAAAAAGCTTTTATTAAAATTCAAATGAATGCATTGTGAAGGTTGTCGTTATTTTTTGCTCCACAGGAATTTTAGCACATTTCTGAAGTTCCTGTTCCTCTCTGCTGCTGTCGTTTCTTTGACTCCGTTCAGCAGTTTGGAGGTTTTTGTGTCAAATGTTGGAAACGGTTGTTCTGTTAAAGGAATCAGAAGTGATTTGAGTCGGTGGAGAACTCAGTCAGACAACAGCTGTAGTTATTCTGGTCTGTAGCCGCTACATTTCCCTCCAACAGAAGCTGACTGCTGTGGGTGAGTCCAGCTGTGCTTCAAGTTGAATATTACTGAAGGAAAATGTTGCACATTCTTCAACACTTTGCTCCTAAAATCTGTGTTTTAGTACTACTTGGTGTGGTTCCAATTCTGCTGTTTTGACTGATTTTATTAACATTTTTGTCATGCCCTGTCTCTGGTCCGTGTCATCCTATGTCCTGCGTCCTTCCCATATCCCCTCTCCCTTGTCTCCTCAGCATCCATTTAGTTTTTGTCCTTGTGTGTCCTTCACCCTTGACCCCTGCGCTTATATGTGTTGTGCCTCACTCAGCCGTATTATTCATCCCCAGTCCTTCAGATTTCTTATTTGGTTTGTGTATTTTCTTCAGTCATTTCCAGTTCATGGTTTAGATCCGGAGTACTCAATCCCGGGCCTGGAGGGTTTTAGTTTTAACTGTTTCAACACACCTGATTTCAATCAGGCTTCTGCAGAGCCTGATCAGCTGCTGCAAAGGTGATTCAAGCACACAATCAAGTGTGTTGGAGCCAAGCCCCCGCAATGCGGCTCAAAAATTGAGTCCAACCCGGAAGTACCAAAAATTGCAGTTCCACCCTCATCCACTAGGGGCTGGTGTCAGAAGCGAGCAAATCCTCATTGACTCCCATGTTAAAAATACCAATTTCACAGCAGAAATAAACATGTTTACAGCCTGGTACCAAAACATGTTTTTGGTTTAAATGATCTAGTTTACACTCATGACAACTCTGAGGGGGTGAATTTTTTTCTCACTCTTCTGTTTAAGTGTATTAAAAGCCTAAAATTCTGTATAATTAATGAGCATCAGACCCACGTGACCACAGAGCTAGCTCCGTGGAAAGGCCTCAGTAGAGCCTCGGTCTGGCCTGGAAACTGTTCCGGGATTTTGAGTCTCTGTGTTTGTGTATTCTTGTTTGGATATTATTTGTGCAATTGTTGGACAAAATGACTTGCTGTGGCATTAATTGCACTAATAGAGCGTCCAAGGAGTCTCCACTTCATTTTTTTCGGTAAGTAAAATTATATTTATGTATTTTAGGTCACTGCCGAGCTGAGCTTAGATTTTAACATGTACTGTTTAACCATGAAATGTAAATGTAATAGGGTAAAACCCAGTGCATTTAACATAATGCTGCACTTTAGAAAATGGGTTGAAATATAACATGATGGTGGAGCTGGGTTCCCACTATCGGCTTGTGGAGGTCTCGGGAGACCGATGTTTTCCACCCGTTCTCCCCTCCCCGCAGCTCGCGGCTTCTGTCTGCTGCGCGGGCTGCCGGCCGGTTTTCTGGCATCTTTAAATTTAAAGCTGAAAAGTTTGAAAGTCCGGCTAATACAAGTATTACTCCTGTACCTCTGCCCTGAATCATGCTGCTCTGTAGGATCTGCTCCACCCTGACAGCCATGTTGGAGACATTCTGAGCGATAGCTTGGATCCTCTCCACCAGGCCAACTGGTTGAAAC